ACAAAAAAACAGAAAACAAAAAACAAAACAGAGCAAAAGGGGAGGAGAGGTGGCAAGCAACCCCTTTCCCTCCCTTACGTTGTATGCAAACTACACGCCCCAGGGCGGGTGCAGCACTCACATACGTAATTCCAACACTGGACTATGGATCAATCAAAACTAAAAGCAGGACTTTTAGTCCGCCTGCCCCATGACTGCACAAAGACTTGGGGGGACATGCAGACACAAACCATAACAAGGATCCAACTGTGTGAGTGTTTTTCTTGTACTGTTAGTTCCATGGCAATGTTATTAATGCTACACATATTTTGCACCTTCACTGAATTCCCAGGGGAGATGTCACCATTTGGGAGTTGGCCTCACTATGCTTTTACTCCATCAACAGAGGTGGTTGGAAGCCCATCACGCCTGAGTCCCACTGAGCATTTATGAGTCGGGTGAAGCCTATGGTCCTGCTCTGGGCATCCTGAGGAATTCCATGGAGAAACGACAGGGGCTGGTGGGGAAACACTGGTCAGGAGTGAGGGGGTCTTATCCTCACCCTGGCTCTGCCTTTCATGGGATGGGCTGGTGTGAGCTGACTATTCCTGTCCTGGGATCTCAGCCCCCAGATCTGTAACAGGAGCTTCTCCAGTGTCTGGTGGTGTAGCCACAGGGTCCCGCATCTCTGGCATTCTTTGCTGTGCTATCATCTTTCACTCTTGGCATGCTGTCATGCTGGAGGAGCAACACACACTTCCCAGTCATTTCCTGCCTTACCTTTTATTGACGCCAGTTGCTTGGATATTGAAATGCTGTCAACAGAGTAAGAGAAACATAATGATTTGGAAGTTTGGGTATTGATATTGCACCTGAAGCAAAGCAGTACAGTGATTTCAGAAGCAATGTTTCTCTGTAGATATTCCCTGAGTGTTCCAGAGGAGCAGCTGTCTGTCTGCTGGAATCCTTTGTCTGTTGGGTATAGTGAGGAAGCATCTCAGCGTGGCTGGCCCAGCCTGCACCCCTCTGTCTCCCCTGCAGCTATGTGGCCGTGTGACTAAGAGTATGGAAGAGCACAGGGCAGCAAAGAAGTACTCATAAGGTTCATATCAGGGCATTTTGCCAGAGTCGAATGAAGCAATAGGTCAAGCAGGAAGAAAGTGCTGGAAGCAGAGAGAACAGGGTGTGTTGAGGCCCTAAAGTGGGAGACAGCATGGCTTTCCTGGAGAACCAGGGAAAGTGCGGTGTGGCTGGGGCAGGGATAGAAGGACAGAGTGATGCAGGGTTGTGCTGACGTCAAGGGCCAGGGCCAGGGCGTGCTGAGGTGTGGGGTCCTCAGGGAGGCTGACATTTGTATCCCAAAGGTAATGGGCATCGCATGATCACATCTGCATTTGGGAAACTATTTCACCTCCTAATCAGAAAGAGATAGGAAAGACGCCAGACTAGAGGAAGGGTATTGATTCTTGGTCCTTTACAAACAGCAAATCAAAGAGTGCTGGAATTTTTAATCCCCAGAGGCTGGAATAATTTTAAAGAAAGCCAATAAGAACCGTACCACCTGCTCATACCCATGACAACTCCTTAAAATGGACTGTCAGTTTCAAGATCTGGTTGTAGTGTCAGCTAGTGCAGGCGCTGTCACCTTTGGAGCTTCATTTTCTCACATGTAGTTAGAAAGCTGGACTCTTTGGCATCTTGGGGCCTCATGTTCTTCTTGGTGAGCTCCTCTGGTTTTCCTAAAGCCTCTGCACCATTATTGTCTCTCGCGTAAGGTAAAGGATGTGCTACGTTTGCATTTTTCACCGTGTGCACTGCAACGCGGCATGTTATTTCCTGTCACTGTGACTGTTTGTCTGCCTTGTCCATCAGTGTGTGAAACCCTCGAGAAGCCAGAGCTATGCAGTTATCCGCACACTTCCCCGTTTTGCCTAGCAGAGTACTTGTTAGGTATCAAAAATGATTTTGGGACCAAAGTCCTTCTCCGCAATGGAACTGCATGATAAAGAACATTTTTCGCTTATTAAATCTACTTTTACACACTTGAATAATATGAAACAATTTTCCTCCATCATAATAAGTCGGAATATGCTATCCAGTTAAAGTCATTATCGTGTTTGACTTACAAGTGTATCTCAAAAGGCACCCAAACATGGGTTTTAGTTACATTATCTTTTCAATTTGCAGTCCAAGCTATAAATTTGTTCTCTTCAGTTTTACAGTTCAGTTTAGAGATGGACTCAGATGGGTAGTAGCACCAAACCCACTGTCTTAGCTGCTAAGCTGATTACAGGAACTCTGGACACGCACACACAAGTTTAAACGAAACTCAGTGAGAAGCAACATGCTACTGACCTTTTGGGCATTTTCCTAGGTGCTAAGGCAGAGGCTGGGGCCGCAGAAGAATCGAGCTTCCCTGCTGAGGGGCCTGCTTGGTCTTGGGTGCTGTGTGTGCAGCCGCCCATGTGTCGGCCTCCTGCGGTGTGCAGACCTTTCCTAAGCAACAGTCACTTGCCGACTGTTGCTGTTTTCATTCACTCCATGACTACACAGTGGCTCCTTCAGAAGAACTCTTGCCCAGCTATGTCACATGTAGCATGAAATCGTTCTTACGTTTAACACTTGTCTGAATGCCTACTCTGGCCAGGCACTGCTCAAGGTGCTGGGAACACACGGGGAGCAAGATCAGACACAGATCAGGTAACGACAGCAAGTGTCACCTGGGAAGAGAAGCATGTGAGACAGTGCTGTGAGACTGGCTTCAGTTGGGGAGGGCAGCGAGCATCCTCTGGGAAGTGGCGTCTGACGATGACGGCACCAGGCGAGGAGCGGGGGTCTGTGCTGCAGGCGGAAGGAACAGGCTGTGCTCACCCTGGACAGCAGCGAGTGTGGTGACTGATCCGAGTGAGAGAGAGAAGGCCAGTATGACCGAGAGGGCCACGTGGCTTACTGTGAAGCCGAGGGTGCGGATCAAGCGTGGTGGCCAGGTCTCACCGGAACTTGCAGGCCAAAATAGGGAGTTTTTAATCTATTTCAAAGTAAGGGGAAGCCCATTTGTGGGCTTTCATCAAGGAGGTTAACGAAGTTAGATTTGCATTTTGAAATGATCACCCCAGCTGCGATGGGAGGACTGGCTTAGCACATGGACAGAGCAAACACAGGGACAGTGCTGGGAAGTGCCTTTCCCTGGGCGTCGACTGTGCTCTCTGTGTGGACTGGACACCACTCGCTCCGATGTGTCTGACGCAGGGAAGCCGTGGCCAAGCACTGCTTCCATCACAGTCAGCTGCTGGGTGAGAGGAGACAGGACCTGCAGAAAAGCTGGGGACAGTTATTATTCAGGCCGCATGCTGGCCACAGGGACATTGCTGTCTATTCTGCACTGCTGCCGGTCAGGGGACTTGTCATTCTTCCTGGTCTGCTTCTCTTTATGGGTTGTCTTTTCTCCCTCTCCCTCTTCACTGGTTTCCTGAGCACTTTTCACTCAGATTTGGGAAGGAGGAAGAGTCCCGCTGGCCTTGCTAATTCCTGTTGTGCAGAGTGGTCAGATGTTGGTGCCAGCCACCCCAAGGGTTGTCAGTTACTCTGTGCAATTGACCCCTGGGGGTTGGGATCAACATGGTACCAGGGTCACCATTCAAGTTAAAATCTTGAGTTGGTTTCTTCAGAAGGAGTGGAGGCAATCAACAAATAATCACCCTAGATAAGATGGTTTGGCAATGATGGCGTCTTTAGAGTCCTGGCAGGACACAGAGTCCAACTCAGATGGTATCGGAGACAATCATGACTGGAGGGCCCCGTGGGCAGGATGAGGGAACTGACACAGACACTGAGGCACAACAGTAGAGAGGAGCAACAGGGAGGTGGACGTGCAGCGGGAGGACACAGTATCATGGAGCCCAGAGAAGATGGTCGCTTGGGGCAGGGGCTACTCGATAGAACTGGTGGTTGGAGGGAGGCAGCCACTGCTAAAATGCAAGCTGGGAGGGAGTGGGGGAGAAGGACCCCCTGTTCTGATCTGCAGCCTGTGCCCTGTTACCTAACTAGTCAGAAAGCTGGCAGAAAGGAAGCCTAGGAGAAAGTTCTGCAAGATCCAGGGTCCTGGGGATCAAAGAAGGCAAGAGAATGTGGTGGTGAAGAGAGACGGACAGGTGAGGAAGAAATATTTGAAGGTGAAGACGATGATGGAAACAAAATCCTGGGAAACTGAAGTGTATCGATTGTCTCATCCTGGCTGAAGTAAAGCTGACGTTTGCTGGACCACACGGTAGTTTCTACGGATAGTTCTGTCCATACTAGGCCATATCTCCCACAGCAGAGTCTCGTGGTAGCATGGAATGTTTCGGCCATTTACACAAAGTACCAAGCCATCGGGGTAAAACATTTAGAAAGCAAGCACTTAGCCTGGCCCCTGCGCAATGCTAGGGCAGTGCTCAGTGTACTGAGTAGAGTCAGTTTGGGGAAGGGAAATGTGTTTTCGGCAGGTAGGGGTCTGACGAATGCTTTCAGGTAGATGATTGACAAGCACATAAGACCGTCTGCTGGAAGGTCACGTGAGTGGGGTCTGATGTGTTGGCTGTATGCCGTGCAAGATCAACACAGCATTAGTGGTGTCTGAGGTTTGGGGAAGTCTCAAACATCTGCTGGAGTAAGGAGAAAACCCCACCAGAGAGCAAAGTGTTTCTGCAGAGTGCTCTCGTATGTGTGCGACTCTTCCTGCTCCTTTCAGCAAAAATTAAACAGGAAGAAATGGGGGAGAGAGGTGCAGGGTCTCACCGTTCCTGGTTTGACTTCCCACTTTTTTGGCAGATGCTAAGTTACTTACTGGGGGATTTGGAAACAGTAACTTCACAAACTGGATTCTTACTTAGAAGCCTTCCCGTGCTAGAATTATGCAAATATTTTTATATGTGTGTTGCTTTTCCCGGCTGAAAGGACACCCAGATTCATGAAGTGACCTATAGCTGCTTAAGGGACATTGCAGGAAGCAAATATCACCTGGCCGTGATATTGGCCCCCCAGGATCACCCCAAGAGACAGAGTGTGTGAAACTTTGAGCCTGTATGCTTTTGCTCAGTTAATAAGATTTTTTTCTTTTTTCTTAAACTTTTTTAAAGAGAATAAAAAATAATAAAAAAAGTTTGCAACGATACAGAATTTCACTAAACAAGATGTTGGGAATTCAGCAATGGTTGCTACATTTCATATTGTTGTCTTCAAAGTAGTTGTTCAGATTACCAGATGTAATCATGCAAAACAGGTAAAAAAAAATTAAAAAGAGACAAAAAAATTAAGTATTAACTGTTCCTTTCAATAGACCACTAGAAATCAGCAGTACAATTATCCCAGCTACCCTGTGTATATACACATACATTTTTCCCTATTTTCTTTCCTTTCTCCTTTCCCACATCCTGGTTTTTCCTTCCCTTTGAGCAGTTTCTTTCCCTTTCAAAGTATCCAGTGTACCTTTTGGGTTTGTTTACTCTTCAGTTTCTTACACTAGGGGGATAGTATGATGTTTACACATGTGGTACTGATTTATTTCACTTATGAGTATGGTCTCGAGTTGCATCCATTTACGTATAAGAGCCTCGAGTTTACCTTTCTTTATAGCTGAGTAATACTCCATTGTATAAAAATACCACATCCTTATTATCCATTCCTCAGTTAGTGGGCATTTGGGTTGCTTCAAAAATTTAGCTAGGACAATTTGTGCTGCTGTTACCATGGATGCACATATATTGCTGTGGTATGATGTTTTTAGTTTTTCTGGAAAAATACCCAGAAGTAAAAGAGCTGGGTCTCATCCTACTTTTTTGAGGAATCTCCACACTGATTTCCATAGTGATTGTACCAGTTTACATACCCACCAACAGTGAAGAAGCCTTCTTTTTTTTCCCACAGCCCTGCCAGCACTTGTTATTGATTTCTTGATGGTAGCCATTCTTTCTGGGGTGAGATGGAATCTCAGTGCTATTTTAATTTGCATTTCTCAAATGACCAGTGACATTAAACATTTTTTCATATATTTATTTGCCATTTGTGTTTCTTCATCTGAGAAGTGTGTATTCATCTCAGATGCCCATTTTTGGATTGGATCTTTGAATTTTGGGGGCCTCATTTTAAAAAATTCTTTATATGTTCTAGATAGAAGTCCTTTCTCTGAGGAAAAGTCAGTTAAATTTTTTTCCCCAATTTGTGGGTTTTCTTTTTACTCTGTTGATGATTTCCTTTGATGTGTGAAAGCATTTCAATAAGATGAGATCCCAGTTGTTGATTCTTTGAAGTATTTCTAGTGCAGTTTGCATTTTGTTCATTAACTCTCTGCCTACCCCTATGTCATCAAGATTTTTACCTACTTTCTCTCCCAGTAGATTTAGTATTTTTGTTTTCATATTTAGACCTTTTGCCCATTTTGATTTTATTTTGGTGCATGGTGATAGACATGGGTCTAATTTTAGTCTTTGGCATGTGGCAAGCCAGTTTTTCCAGCACCATTTATTAAAAAGGCTATCTCTTTTCCAGTGAACATGTTTGGCCCCTTTGTCAAAGCTAAGGTGGCTAAGTGTGTTTGTAATTGTGTCTGCATCTTCTAATCTGTTCCATTGATCTTCAGGTTCATTTTTTTTTTTTTGCCAGTACCATGCTGTTTTTATCACAGTAGTTTTGTAGTATAATTTCAAGCCAGGGATTGTGATGCCACCTGCCTTGCCTTTGTTGCCCAGGATTCCTTTTCTATTCTAGGTCTTTTCTGGTTCCAGATGAATTTTAGGAATGTTTTCTCTATATCTGCAAGGTATACTAATGATACTTTAATCCAGATTGCATTGAATCTGTGTAAAAATTTTGGGAGCATGGCCATTTTTATAATGTTGGTTCTTCCTATCCAAGAGCAAGGAATATCTTTTCATTTTCTGAAATCCTCCTTGATCTCTTTTTTCAGAGTACTGTAATTTTCACAGTACAGATGTGGTATGTTCTTTGTTAGATTGATTCCTAAGTATTTCATTTTTAGGGGTGCTGCTCTGAAAGGTGTGCTTTCCCTAATTTCTCTCTCAGTGTGTTTGTTGTTTGTGAACAGGAATGCTATTGATTTTTGAGTGTTGACTTTGGATCCAACTATGCTACTGAATTTGGTTATTAAATGTACAAGTCTTTTGCTGGATTTTTTTTGGTCTTCTATGTAGGGTATCATGTCACCTATGAATAATGATAACTTCACTTTTTCCTTTTCAATCCTTATTCCTTTTATTTCTCTCTCTTGTCTAATTGCTCTGGCTAATGTTTACACAACTGTATTGAATAGGAGAGGTGACAGTGGACATCCTTGTCTTGTTCCTGATTTTAAAGTGTAAGTTTTCATTTTTTTGTCCACTTAGTATGATGCTGGCTATTGGTTTGTCATAGATGGCTTTTATCAGATTGAGGTAAAGACCAGGTATTCCAATTTTCTGTAGGGTTTTCATCATGTTGGACTTTGTCAAAAGCTTTTGTTTTGCACTG